GTTAGAGTTGAACCCTTTGTGTCTCTCTGGCAAGATGTTCTGCTCCTGAATCAGCTGGGTAGGTCTTGCCTCTAGCCTCTTTGCAGGGAGTTCTGCTGAACGGTTCCCTGCTGGGCCTGCACTCTGGGTCGAATGAAGATCTGCGGGCCCTGGGGGTCTCACTCACTTGCCGGGCCTGCGCTCTGGGTGTATTCAGGATCTCGTGGGCCGCAGGTTGTCTCACTCACTCGCTGGGCCTGCACTCTGGGTCTATTCAGGATCCGCAGCCCGAGTAGTCTCACTCACTCGCCGGGTCTGCGCTCTGGGTCTCTTCTCACCTATTTTCATTGCTATGTGTAAAGCACTGTTCTTGAATAATGAGTTGGGATTTTATACTATTCTATTTTATTTATTTATTTTTATTGAATAATGTTACAATTGTAGAAAGTATTCTTTTATTATTCTAAAGTGTAAGGAAGTGACTATACTTTATGATAATCTATTCTATAATTTATGAATAACTACAAGAGAAGAGTTTGAAGTTTCCAAATATAAAATAATGAAAATGAGATGAAAATATTAATTATTACCCATTGTATACATAATTATACAAATATCACCAGAATTTTTTATTTTTTATTTTTATTTTATTTTTTTCAAGATTTTTTCTTTATTGTAATATTTTAATATGTACTTTTTTTTTCAAAACAAATTGGTAGGACAGTTTCAATAATTAACACATTGCATACATTCTTCCTAGTGGTTAATTTCTTTATAAGATTTGGACATGATATCCTATTTACAAACACTATTAGAATGAATCCCTCTATTCACTAAGAGAATGTAACTATATATCTATCCCAACCATTTTGAATACACAGATACAAAATGGACATTCATCTATATCCCCTTTGTTGGTTTAGTTCCATTATTTGAATATTATAGGTATGTTAACTCAGCAAAATATTCTAAAAGAGTCCAGTAGTCTCTATTTTATTTTTAATCATTTATTTATTTATTCATTTATTTAGTACAGGGTCTCACTACACAGCTTAGCAATTCATAGCAATCCTCCTGTCTTTACCTCCCCTGCACTGGGATTACAGGTGTGGGATACCACACCCAGTTTCAGTGGTGGCACATCACGCCCAAGGTTCTGGGGCTAACACAGCATGTGGTACCAGGTTTGAACCTGGGTCCTTGTACTTAACCAGAGAAGCACTTATCTCCCCTGCCATTAGTTGGAATTTTAGTCTCAAGGACCCAGCCTGTGACTGTTCCTTCTTGCCTTGCAAGCAGGCCTTCCAACTGCACAGATGGGTGGTGCCTGAGTTCCCTGGAGCTCACTAGTGGTTATTCCTTTCTCTCCCTGTGCTTCCTTTTAGGATGCATCCCTTCAAGGTCTTTGGTACACTTGATTTCTGTAGAATCCTGAACTTACTGTTAATCATTCCTGTGATTTTCACCTCAGAGCTCACTGGTTTTCTCCCTAGATGTCCTATACAACCTTTTTTTCCTCATCCTTAATGAATATACCCAGTCTTTGCTGCCTTGAATACAGGAAAACTGGCAATGACTACAAAGTTTTTGCCACTGATTCCATAACCTGGGAAACTTGCAGGTCTCCTACTGTCAGCTCGTCCAGTACATGGGTGACAATTCTCACCCCTTTATGTGTGTATTGATTTTCAAATGACACTCATTGCTGGGTAGGGCACAGCACACTGCTAAGCTGCTTGGGCAGTTTGTTCTGAAGCTGCATGTTAGGCACAGGCCAAAGGTCACCAGGGCCAGGATCACCCACACTGATGGGCAGCACCTGCTGTGTGCTGCCCAAGTCCAGAGTGACAAAGTCTTCCCTCTGTCCATGCCCTGAGACTCCAGGGCCCCTCTGCTTCCTGGTGATCTGTCTTCAGTGTGGCCCTGACTCTGACCCAGTGACCCCAGGAGAGCGAGCCACTGGTTCTTTGTGACTTTTCAGCTAAGTCCCTAGCTCCTAGGATTATCCATGGCCAGCGAAGACCCAGGTCCACCCAGAGTGTGTGTCCTCATGAACAGGAGAGACAGAGAATCAGGTAATCAGAAGTTTATTGATGCCTTGAGGAACTGACTGAGATTCAGGGCAGGTTGACAGAGAAGAGGACCCCAGACGAGGGGTCAGGGATGCACAGTGGACATGGTGGGGAGACCCTGTCCCCAGGGGAAAGGGACCTGCTAACCCATGTCAGGATCAGGCTGAGGGGTGCAGTGAAAGCTCTGGGCTTGGGGTGACCTGAGCCTGTTGGCCCTGGGGGATGAGGCCAATCAGCAGCAGGACTTCTGGCCCAAGGAGAGGCCACAGCAGGCTGGGCGGGGGCAGGCAGGACGGCAGAGCAGGGAAATGCAGGAGGCTGGGCAGCAGCTGGGTTGACAGGAGGAGGCGCAGCAAGAGGAGGCAGGCATGC